TGAGAACCTGAGCCCCTTCCAAGTACGCTAGTGTAGCTGGCAAAAGACACATATCAACTATCAACTATAAATAAAAGCTTATGCTGTATTCTCTTCCCACTGTTCCAGGGGAGTGCTTTTTCATTTTTGCACGTTTTAATAGCTTAGTTTAGAATATCGTTGTAACCTTCATCTTCTCTGTATGCTTCATGTGTTGTCTTCCTTTTTTGCTATGCTTGGAAGTGGGGGCTGGTGTTTTCTTATGTTAAGAGTGGAAAACTGATTTTTTCAAGGAAACAGATGGTAGAATAATTAGGGTCTGTTTATGTAGATTGTTTGAGCCCTGCATGAACACAAGCCAAGGTACTCACCAAGAAAAATTAATTTTGTAAAAAATTGATATTTTTGGAGAATTTGTGGTTAAAAAGTAGAAAAAAGTTTTGGGTCCACGTGCAAACTAAATTTGTTGGGAGAATGTGATTGAAAATGAGTTTGGAAAAAAATGAACTTTAAAATCTGAACCAAACAAGGGCTTTGTATCTCTTTAGATGAAGAAGTATTGATGAATTTCGTCTTTATATGAAGCATTTATTGCAGATTTGTTTCATATGCGCAAGAGATATGTCATTTTCTATTTGCTGGCAAAATAGGGTTGTCGATGCCAAAATTTTTATTAGTTTGGCTACTGAGGGAGTTCTGTTTGAGTTGTGATTGCTTGTGTCAGCCTTGCATAATTCTTGTCTTTAGTAGAATAAGCCCAAGGACAAGAGTAACATGCCTTCACATGCTAGATTTTATACCATGGTGTCATTCACACGAATTGAATAGGCTTGTGTTTATTATTAACCATGATCGTCCTTGGCTTGCCTTGCCTTTTAGAGCATGTTTGATAGGTCTCGTTGATGAAGAAAAAGATGGTAAAATTATGTCTATTGTATTGGCCAATCGTGTCCAACAGTGTGAACAAAATGTGTCAGTGAATCAAGAGAGTATTATCCCGTGGTTGGGGACTTGAGTCTAGATCTTTTCTGGTTTCACCATAACTTGCATCTGCAACAAGTGTGGTACCGAGAAATATGCAGTTGAATTTGTGTGATGGTGCTTGAGTTTGGACAACTCAGATGCTGGGGGAGGTGTCTAATAATAAGGCATTTGTCCAGTCCTCAGAACATGGGAAAAAAGTAATTGTCTGTCGAGGAAATTGAAGGCAGAGGGAGTGATCGTGCTTATTTTCATTAGACTTAGGAATGAATGTCTGCTCACATTTTTTTCCTACTCATTCCTGTCTTGTTATTTAGGAGTTGGCAGGTTCACATGGAACATTCTTGTACATTTATCTTGCCTTCATTCTCACTTGAAAACACATGATATTAGAAAACTTTAAAAAATGTCGAAATGAAAATGGGAAAAAAAAAATATTTAGGATGTAATCTCATTGTGTATATTACAGTTTGCCTGTCAATGCTTTTCTGACAGTTCACCTTTTTACAAGGCTTGCTTTTGTTGAGGAACACAACACTCTTCAGCATTGGACAATCTATGTTACCAAATAGGTTAAAATCGTTGTTTGGTAGGTTTGATTGATGGGATACGAAGCCCTCGTCCCCGTTAATTTCTATTACATTACATTACATTACATTTTTTCTCTTATTTTTAACCATACAATCTTTCATAAAATAATATCATACGTAAATCGAAAACTTTTACTTCCTTTTTAATCACTCATTTTTAAAAAAAAATACTATTCCACCCATTTGGAACTCTACAAAATGGGGGCCAAACAGGGCGAAGAATAGACTAACATTTCACTGCTTTTCCTGCCTAGCTACGATCTAGTGCAAGAAATTCACTGAACAATCTTCTTTTTCACTTCTTTGTCCACAATGTTCTTGTCAATTTGTTCATGATTATCCTCTGAATATTTGGAGAACATATTTATTATCTCCTTTTCATAGAGCATACTTCTCTCCTTTTCTTCACGGCATGATATTATAGGGAAATTTAGGATTGAACTACAAAAATTTTTCACGTGCTGTAGTTACGAGTTTATATTCAAAAGTGGAGTAATGGATCCATCCTTCTTAACCTGGCTCTCATGTTACAACACTCGTTAGTGTGGATGTCAAAATCGGGTGTGGTCACATGGGACTTAGCTTTACATATTTTAAAAAATTAGAGATTTAGAACTTAATTTATGAAGGTTTGTTAGGAAAATGTGTAATTGGCAATCTGTGACCAAAGGACCTATTTGTCAAAATTGTAAGTCAAGGACTAAATTGTACAGGTCAAATAGTTCAGGGACTAAAGTTGCAATTTAGTAAAGGTCATAGCATAGGTCTAGGGTAAAGTGGGATGCTTTGAAGATGCAAACGACGCGTTGATGTCGCTGGAGTTTCGCCCTGACCTTGCTAGAGCCAAAATTGCAGAACTGACCTCGCTGGAGTTTCGCTGGTCTATCGCCTGAGCGAAGGTACGTCGCTCGAGTTTCGCCAGGACCTCGCTCGAGCGACTGTGTTATCTGGCCTTTGGTAATTTTAATGCCTCGCGAATTTTTAACGCTCCATATTACCAAATTCGACCTACTATATAAACAAAACGTCCGATTTTCATTACGTGACCTTTGGCAAACATTAAAACAACAATTCCTCTCAACTTCCAAAGGATCAAGAGCCAAAATAAATTCTTTCTTTTCATCTTTGATTCTTATGGTTCTTTGAATAAAAACATCAACCCTCACAAAACCAAAACGCCCTTTCATATCTCCATATAAATTTCCAGAAGATCATCTGTTTGAAGATCCGGGAAGGAAATTGCTTGAAGAGCTGGAGTGCTTGGTGATTCACAGGAGGTAGAAGATATTCAAAGCTGGGATTTTGGCGCAGATCTGCAAAATCCAGGATAGCTGTGGTCGATACAGTAAGGAGGTCAGAATATTGTTAGAATCAATAATGTTTGACGTACTGTAAGTCAATATCTTCTATAGTGGATCTCTACTGGCTTGTGTCCGGAGTTTTTACCCAGTTGGGTTTTCTCCGTCAACATTTTGTTGTATTTTTCCTGTTTCCTGTTATTTATTTTTCAACCGGTAATTCAACTTAGGTAGATAAAGTATGTGAATGAATCTAGGCAATGCATAATTGATGTGACTTGTTGCATCAGTTAATTAATTGTTTTAATTCCGCATAAACACCTATTCACCCCCCTCTAGGTGTTGGTTGGGTCGAACTATTGCTTTTTCAAGGTTGATGATCCATAATCACACAACGTGAGGATGGGAGTCCAGTCCTAATTTTCTCTAATATTATGAAGAATTTTCAGAAAAACTATTCGAGGTTGCAAAAGAAGAGCTTGAAGGATATATTTGGCGATTAAAGTTATTGGATAATTAAATCGTCTTAGGCATTATAAGATAATTCGTGACAAGGGTAACTATGGAATTTGATGAAATTATGGCTAAATGAATCGTATTAAACATAAATGTAAGCCAAACGAAAAGATAATTGCATTTTTTTTTTTTTTTACCACACGTGTGATTGTTTCGTTAGTTTCTCAAGAACAAACTGTGACATCGTGTTTAGGGAAAGAAATATTAATAATGAATTTTTTTCCCGAAAATTGAGTTAGAATTTGCAATAAGACTGTAAATTTTGTAAAAAGATTTGTTATTTATTAAACTAATAAAGAAATTGAATCTCTAAGTTCACTTTACATTTTTTCCATCGACTATAACTTTCACACTCATAGATTATAATTAATGCATGTTTTGTGCATTTAACGTGACAATGAGACCTTACTTTCTTAATATTGTCTTATCTAACGTATTGAGTATATCCATTTCGTTATGTCACTTCGCAACCTTACGTACCCTTTTGCATCAGTTAGTTTCTTGCCCCTACATTCCACATGCTTTTGTTCAAACACCATCTAATTCCTCATAATCATATGCTCACCCCTATCCCAACCCGTGTGTATATATACCTTACCTTTTCTCGTAACCTCCAATTCTCAGCCACCTCTCAAGTTTTCTATATTTTCTTTTCACTATACTGATACAAAGAAATGACTCTGAGGAAAACCAACAAAAATATTCAGGCAGCTGCACTGAAGCAAATCTTGAAAAGATGTTCAAGCTTTGGCAAGAAAAACGATGTCCCGAAAGGGCATTTTGTTGTATATGTTGGTGAAAATAGAAGCAGATACATCATTTCTATAGCATGGTTAGGAGACACAGAATTTCAAAGTTTGCTTCAAAGAGCAGAAGAAGAGTTTGGGTTTCATCATGATATGGGCCTTACTATTCCTTGTGATGAAGATGAATTTTTCTCTTTGATATCCAATCCATATTAATATGATGATTGATTTTTTATTTTTTACTAATTGGGATAGTAAATTGATTGAAAAAGGTGATCTAGTCGCACCTTCTAGTATAACGATTTTTTTAACGACACAGTCGTTTTGCACCTTTCATGTCGAATTTGTATGTTGATCTCAATTTGTAAAATTCTGATTGCTTATTATGAGGTATATTGCAGATATTAATTTTTTTCTTTGCCACATAGATTCTTATTTGTTTGTTATGCTTAACGTAAAGAAAGAACGTTATAGGGATGTTAGCATGCTGGAACTGAGGAAATTCATGTAATTGTTAACTATTACCTTTCTTCAATCCATCAGTTAGCAATATAATGTACATACCATGCGTTTACAACAAAATGAAAGTTTCATTATGTGATGGAAAGAAACTCTTTAACATCAAATTTTTTTTAGTAGTAGAATTGCAAAACAATAATCGACCACAACAAACTAGGTTCCGTATTATACTTCAATATTACAGAGAAAATTAAATGAAGTACTCTATAGTATACAAAGTACTGAAAGATGTTTTTCACCTCGTCCGTGACATACAAAGCTGTCAAAATAGAAAGCCTGGGGCCATTTAGTAGAGGTTTTTAAAAGTCAAAAGTTGTTTATGAGATCAAAAAATTGCTTTTGAATATAGTTGGATAACTTCTAGAAGTTCTTTATTTGTTTAGAAGAGCTTTTAACAAAAGTTGACAAAAGATAATTTTCTCGAAGAGTTCTTCGGTGAGAAACAGAAGCATTGGCAAACTGACCATTAATATCAAGGGTCCCATTTGCTATGGTACCCACGAACCTTATCAACTTAACAATTTGTTCTTCCACTTGAGACTACAACCTTTTCTTTAATAGTCAAGAAGAGGATAGAAAAAAATGAAATAATCTTATCCCTTATCATAGATTTGGGTTATTGAAAAATATAAACACTTTAGGACCTTATTAATAAATAAATACTACTAATTATTTAAATAAATTAGAATGTATTGTTATCTAATTTACTTGAAGAAACTAATAAAGATTGTGAAGTCTAATAGATTGTCTCAATGAGCATAGTCGCATATTATTTATTGAATCAAGTCACTAAAATTGTTAGACAAAGAAAGAATTTATTTATTTATTTATACTCATATTGTACGAGTAGTTAACCGAATGAAATTAATTTGTCTAATGTGATATCATGTTTATAAATACTTGCTAAAGAAGTTATATCACTTTTTTTATCTGTATATTTCATGGGATTTACAAGAACTACCTATGTATTCATCACTCATTTTTTTCACCTTCAAAAAATGCTAAATAAATTATTTTGAACGTCCATCGAATCCATTTGGTTAAGAGAGTTATGAGATAGGATGTGAACGAAATTATTGGAAAACTTGTCATATGCTTTAGATTGGATTGTTTTATTAAGTTGTGATAATTTGTTGAGTAGGGTGATTGAGTTTTGTGTTGGTAGACATATTGTCGTGTCGAATATGGAGGACATTGTAGTATTGAGAGGTCAAATATGGTGATTTATTGTCATTGTTTTTATATTGATTTGTATTGTCATGTGATAGACTCAATCTTGCAAGAGTTGAATGATCGTTTTCCAGAGATTCATTTGCAGCTTTTGATAAAGATAAATTGCTACATCTTGCTCAGTTATATCCTTTGGGCTTCAATAGTGAAAAGCTTTTATTACTTTGACCTCAACTTGACAAGTCTCTTATGCTTGTGAGAATGGAAGAAGCTTCCTCTAACCTCAATAGCATATCTTGTGCAGCTCAGAAGTTGGTTGAAACAAGAAGTTCTTGTTATTTTCTATTGGTTTATAGGTTGATTACCTTGGTTTTGATATTACCTGTAACAACTGCAAGTGTTGAAAGGTATTCTCTACTATGAATCTAATCAAGATTGACTTGGGAAACAAAATGAGAGATGATTGGTTGAATGACAATTTGGTAGTTTACGAGGAGATATAGATTTTTGGGAAAGTTGAGAATAAAGCAACATTGCAATGTTTTCAAAATATAAGACCCTGTAGAATCTAGTTTTTTATAAGTTTACAGTTACAAATAAGGTTGTATCGTATATTTTTTTAGTATTTTGGGTTGTATTTAATTACATTTTCATATGTATAGAATTTCTATATTTTTGTGCATTTACATATGTATTGGACAATTTTTAATATTATTTAATTAAATACTAATAAACAACAGTACTATTACGATCGTTGAGTAAACGGTCAACGATTGACGTCCACCATGGCTAACCTCCATCCTAGATTTGCCACTACACATGATTACACCTAAGGATGACCATCAACTAGGACATATTTATCATGTAGTTGTGTCATTAATGTATTTGTTGATGCTAAATTTGATTAACAAGGATATTGGGAAATTCAAATATTCGGTATCGAACCTAAGGTTTTCGTAATTAGAAAAGCTTTCTTGCAAAGGAGAGAAATGGTCTTCCATGTATATTCAAACTTTTAACTGTTTATTAAGTATGAAGAAAAATATTTCAAATAAGGTGTGTGTGTGCGTGTGTGTGTATATATATATATATATATATAAGCAAGCCCCACGGCCAATCCAGCAACAATAACAGAAGCGGTAGAAATCAGTGGATTCATGATAAGTTCCTCGTACCAAAAAAAAATTAAAAGAATAAATAAATAAATAAATAAATATATATATATATATATATATATATTATGTGGTTTTCATTACTATTGTTGCGGTAAACCTTTAAGACACCCAATATATGTAAACTTTTTATGTCGAATGATCAAGTTAAAGTTCAGTGACTTAATAGCAATTAGGGTAAAAGTTGGGTGACTACTGGTGCACTTGTTGAAATATGGCCAAATAGCCAATCTATGGATGGCAAAGTGCTCCATTTCGCTCGAAGAACCTGCTCCAACTCTATTTTATTACTATTTATTTATTTATTTATTTATTATTTATTTATTATTATTATTATTTTTATCTTTTCAAATTTAAACCATATGAAAAGATAAAAATTGAATCGTTAACACGGCTTTAAACAAAAATATTTTGATCTTCGCTTGCCATGCCCAATCCCCTCCCACCTTTCGAAAATCTTTGGCAGAATAGGGAACAGTGGCCCTGCCCCTGCCCTTGGATCATGGTTATAGAAAATTACATCATTAATTCTTCAAAACAAATCATACATTTTTTTTATTTTTTATTTTATACATTTTATCAACACGAACAATCTACATTCCTTGGTTATCTTTTTTATATCCCTCTAATCTCCTAAAATATGATGTATGTTTCAATGCACCGCACATGCCAATATAGAATAATAATGTATTTTACCTAATTGTTAGCCAGATGGTAGACCATTATATAGAGATAATGATAGAACAATATCGTACTTTTAGCATAACTTGATAGTAACGAGTCATCACTTAACAACCTCCTAAAGTTGAAGGAATTTTGAGACAACAAGCTATGTATGTGTTTCAAATCAATATTTTCATTTCCAGACCACACAATCTTCTTGTCAACCGACCAAACCTCTCAATTTGCCTAACCAAATGCTAACAAAGTCATTATGCAAATACGGCACGAATATTAGACATCACAAATCAAATAGAAAATTAAGTACACACACATGTAGGTGGATGCAAGCTTGTCTCTCTTTCTTTTCTTTAAAAAAAGAAAAAGAAAAAGAAAAAGAAAAATATCCTGAAGAGAATTAATAAGATTCGATGAGTCCATAAAGTTTCTCCGGTGCCATGTATTTAATTATTTTTCAAAGAGCAAAGACTTCATTTAACACATATCATCCAGGATGGTGAATGAAGAGAAACCAGAATACAATCGGTCCAAATACAAAGGTTCCTATATATAGTTGCATACGAAGCAAGATAATGGGTCATGGATAGAGCTATGAATTTATTCGAGTAAGGGTATGACTTAAAGTGTGTTTTATAAAAATGTAAAATGTTAGGACACGTTTGATAGTGAATCTATGTTGTAATTTGCTCAAATTATAATAACGAGAATTAGGTTGTTTCTAGAAACTCTTCAAGTAGGGAAAGTCATGGAAAATGGCCCCAAAAACAGAGTGAGATGTGAAATATCGTAGTTCGACCCAATCAACGCTTAGAGGGGGGTGAATAGGTGTTTATGCGGGATTTTCTTTTTCAATCAATTAATAATTGCAACACGTCACAAAAATTAATTTGTCCAGATCAGTTCACATGCTTTACTATCCTATGTTTGGATATCGGTCATAAATTAATTGCTGAAAGATAAATAACACAATTGTTCGATGACGGAGAAACCCCAATGTGGGTAAAACTCCGGGCCCAAACCAATAGGAATCCACTATAAACGTAAATAAAACTTACAATCAGCCAGACTCAACCTACACTGATTTTTCTGACATCCTGACCATAGTTTCCTCCAGGCCTTCCTGGAATGCGTGATCCTGCACCAACTCCTGGCACATAGCTCTTCTGGATTGCGTGCTACACCAATTCTCGAATCTTGATTTTGTCTATCTCCTGTGGATTCAAGAGAACTACCTGTTCTCTAATGATCGTGACTCCGATCTCCTTCCTCGATCTTTAAGAATCAACAAAGGTACTAGAAGATTGTGTTGTGGTGTTTGGTGAATGTTGATTTGATATTTTTCATGTAATTGATCAAATCAAATATGGGGTTGAATAAGAAGGTTAAAGTGTCGGAGAGTTTTCTTCAATTTTAATACCTTGAGAGCACATCTCAAAATCGGCGCAGTTTTTCTCATGTACATGTATTTTGATATTTCTAGTCGGATTAAAATGTTGAAAAAAGAAAAATAGGATTTTATGGGTAACACTGTCGCTCGAGCGACAAGCGAGCGACGCTGTCTCGCTCGAGCGAAGTGGGGGTGAGAAGCGAGCGACGACCATTCTGTTTTTGTCGCTTGAGCGACCACTTGGCGAGCAGCTAGCGAAACTTCAACGACACATCATGTCCTACTTCATAGCTTGAACCCTAGCACACTTTTCCAAAATTACAATTGAGTCCCTCATTTTTTACACATGTACACAATGACCCCTGACCTTTAATAATTGATAAATTTACCCAAACTTTTGAGCATTTACAATTGTACCCTTTTGCTCACAGAATAGCCAACACAAAATTTAACAAACTCCCCTTTTGATATTCTGTGACAAAACCAAATTACAGCAACATGAACTACAATGACAATCCAATACACTGACTCAACTCACTGTTGCCTTGT